TCTGAAACAAGAGAGGTATGTCAAGGATCTTGGGATTACAGTCCCAACCAGCTTTACACCTAGCGAACAATGCGCCGAAGCAGCCCACAAGGCCAGGAGAGCGCTCTTTGCAATCCCTCTGTATAGGGCACTCGTCAGACCCCACCTAGAATACTGCGTCCAAGCTTGGGCTTCCTACCGAGTGATGGACGTAGACAGGTTAGAAAAAGTGCAACGGTTAGCGACTAGAAGGGTTTGCAAAATCAAAGGGCTATCCTACAAAGACCGCCTTTGGCACCGGAACCTCCTCTCTATGCGTAGGAGACGTCTAAGAGGAGACATGATCGAAGTCTTCAGAAAAATGAAGAACGCCGATCTAGGCCTCCTACGTCTGAGATCCACGAGAGATCTAAGAGGCCATCAATGTCACCTAGAAAAGAATAGAAGTAGATTGGATGTGAGGAAACATTTCTTTACCAACAGGGTGATCAACTTCTGGAATCGCCTCCCCGGCAGACTCGTTTAACTGACCACATTGCAAGCCTTTAAAATGGAATTAGATAGAGTATGGGCCGAAACCTTTCCATAAGTGACCTAAAACAGAAGGGAACTAAGCCATCTCTTTTATTCTTCCCACCCCCACGTTTGACACAACGTGGTGCGCGACGCGACTCCTACTACATCAGAATCCCGCATCCTCGGACGGCTGCGGAATTATCAACCGTGCTCCAAGCCGGACAAACACACAACTCGACCGGTCTACCGATGAGATCGAACCAGAATCAGGACAACCATAAGGTCAAGGCCTCTACGCCCTGGAAGATTGGATTGGATTAGATTGGATTGGATTGGATTGGATTGGATTGGATTGGATTGGACCTGACCTGACCTGACCTCCAGCGGTACGTTCGAATTTCGGTTGCGTGTTATTTGCTCTCTGTGAATTTCCATTGAACTACGTTAAAAAGCACGGTAAAGCAAACTATACAGTCCGTTTTAGTACTTTACCTTTAAACACAAGCTCGGTCGTAAATTATCTGGCTTGAAGTACACCTTTTTTGAAAGGTTTTGCTTACAAGGTTTCTGTAAACCTTTTTTCAGAAAATACCAACGATCATTTTACGTTTTTGTGTCATTCAGTAAATTTGGTGTCGTATATTTATCGAATATTTATCGGTATGCTTACATTCCACATCCTTTCCAAAATATTTGCCAACTTTCCGTGCCGGAATGAAGCGTGCGGTAGAAAGGTGGCAAGGGGTATTATGTGCGACGTATGTGAGGAATGAGCTCACCAAAAGTTCACCGGGGTCTCTTCGGAGATCTACGCCCTGTACATTAAACGCAGTGAACTAGAGTGGGTGTGCAATGGTTACAAAGGTTGTCCAAGGTACCGTCCCTTGAATCTCACCAAGACTGACCGAGACAAATCGAGTGGAAAGTAAGGGTGTGATGGCTGAAGAAGTGTCAGCCAAAATTTATGCTGAGGTAGTGAGAAAAACACTCATCAAACCTGCTCCACTAACTCTGCATAGGAAACCAAACGCTAAGATTGTCAAATCTAAGCCGAAATCAGTAACCCGGCGCATCGTCAAGGGACTTCAAGGCACTCTGAGTAACAGCCTGCATCACATAGAAAGTGAACTGCAAACTTTGCGTGCAGAAGTAGCCTCAGTCAGGGCTGTTAGGGCAAATGGGGCGTTCACGTGCAACACGCTACTGGTACTCAATAAAGAGGAACCAATAATCAGAGAATCTAAAACTCGGCGAGAAATGGATCGCCGCCGAGTGACTGATGTACTAAGACTGGTAAGCTTAGATACAAAGTGCCATATAGAAAGGATACAAAGAGTAGGTGTTTGGAAGCAACCAAACCTGAACGGGGTGACTGCTGCCCGACCGATACTAGAGGAGTTTGGAGAGGCGGGACCAAAGGACATGATTTTGTCAAAAGCATCCCTTGTGAGTCCGCTTTCAGACGGGCGATACAGCATAGTCCCGGACAACCTAAGGCGGCATGGGAAAGTAGAGCATAAGGGGCCCAAGGGAAAGGTCAGAAACCGGGGTACGATGCCTGCAGCAAACACCCCATACAGAAACGGGGTGACAATTATAGAAGATATAATGGGAGAAGTGGAATGGAAGACCTGCTTGCTGAGCAGGTTGGTAAGTGAAAATGAACAGAAAACTGTTCAAACCGACGGACACCCAACTTAGAAGGCGCAGGACAATTACTAAAAATGACCCATCAAAAAACGGGTTCACAACTCGGGCGCTACGTCCGAGACCAAAACAAGAGTAGGGGGCTTAAAATGCCCAATTCCGAAAAAGTTAGTTATGCTATGCACAAATACGTGCAGCATCCGGAATAAGTGGGCAGAGCTAGGGGTCGCATCTCAGGAACTCAAAGCTGCAGTGATTGTTGTCTCTGAAACATGGTTACGTGAAAAAGACCACAGACCATCGCAAACAGCTTTGAGATCCACAGACAGGATCGAGGGGGACAAGTGCAAGGTGAAGAAGTAGCCGTTCTCCTTCGCAAAGAAACTCCTCACAGGCGATTGAACACGGAAGCTTGCACTCCTAATATACAAATGTGCGCTATCTCACTCATTTCTAGAACAAGCAGCGCCACCATATCCAGTGTGTACAGGAGTTCAGGAGCCACCCTAAACGAAGACGATCAACTGATCAGGGCGCTAGATGCACTAGCACAGTCTCAACAGAAACTGTTGATTGCTGGGGACTTCAACCTTCCTGGCATCCAGTGGACCACAGAGAACTGCTCGGAGGGTACACCAGAGGAAATGTTTCTGGGATGGATACACTCCAGAGTCCTCTTGCAACACATTAAGGAAAACACCAGATTCAGGACTGGGCAAAATCCATCGCTCCTGGATTTGTTGTTTACCATACCATAGGGACGTAGAAGATCTCTCGTTTCACCCACCTATAGGGAAGAGTGATCATCTGGTGATAAAGTGACCCTCGATTCAAGGAAACCCAAAGTGCCTAGCCGGAAAATTAGGAATTTCAGTAACATAGATATAAGCAGCCTGCAGGCAAGAGCCTTAACTCTAGAATGGGGAGCAGAAAATGACAAAACCACAGTAGAGGCCCTCTGGCATAGAATCAAAAGTAACCTACAAGAATTCCAAGACGAGTTCGCACCCCTTAAAATTCGGAAAGGCTGTAATAAGCCTCCATGGTAGTCTCCGGTAATAAGGAGAGCACTACGGAAAAGAAACAGAAGATGGAGACACTACAGGGAGGTCAGCACCCAGTTGGCATGGACAAACTACACGGTCCAGTGAAAAAAGGCAGTCAGTCTTATAAGAGTAGAAAAGAGAAAATATAAACTAAATTTAGCTGCAAACATCCAGCAGAAACCGAAATAGTTTTTCAGGTACGTCCAATCGAAACGCAACTTGAGGGATGCCATAAGTGCCTTGCTTCTGGAAAACAACACGATTGCGGCAAACGACCACAGCAAGGCAGTAGCACTTCTCAACTATTTCGCTAGTGTTCATAGGTTAGATAGCAGGACACTAGAACCTAGATCCCTAAACTCTCTTCCACAGAGCATAAGGGACATGCAGATATCTGCAGTGGAGTTTGTTGTGGTTCGTACTCGGACTAGTATTTCGTATACGTATGGGATCCCGCGCGCCATTAGTCCAACCCAGAACTAGGACTCGAAACGAAACCAGAAGTCAACTCAGAGGTGGAATGGAATTGTAATAGGCGGAAATCAGAAATCTACAAGGATATCATGTTCAATAAAACAAAAGAGTTCACAGTTCATGAGCAATCACTACATCCGCCGCAGCTTGAATGAAGCTCCGGTCTTCTGTAATCACGGCGGGCTTTTTTGAGTAATCGATCAGATCTTCTGGGTTCTTCTATACTGTTTTCGACATTTGTACTGGGATGTAATTCCTCTGGAAAAGACTCAGAAATAAAAGGATTAGTAGGTTCACAACTAGTATCAGGATTGGGCAAACTACAATTTACTTGGTCTACATGTCCGCGATATTCAGTGCCATCATCGAGATCCAATATGCGAAACACTCTTTGTCCCATATTGTCCAATGCAATGCCCCTGGAGGGTCGTAAATCGTTACCACGATGATACACGACTTCCGCAGACTCCAAGTGTAGAAGATTTGTTCAAAGAACTCCACTCTTAAGCAGTTTTACTGGACTGTGTCCCGTAGTTGAATGTACTGCGTTACGGTATTGCATCAGAAAGTTATCAACGCCTCTGTCCAGTTCGTCGAATGTACTGGGATTCAACGAAGCAATGGCACCCTTCAGCGTGCATAAAATGTTTTCGGCTGCGCCATTGGATTGCGGATGTCGGGGTGGAGTGAGAACATGCCGACAACTCACGGAGTCCAACCAATCAGTAACTTTCTTGGCAGTGAAATGACTTCCATTGTCAGTCACGATAACATGCGAGACACCTCTACTGAACGTTTTCTTGAGTGCTCGAATAGTAAATTATGAACTGGGAGTTGTGGTAAAGTACACTTCTGGCCAACGGGAATAGGAATCGACGATCATTAATGAGTAATACTTATTAAAGAATGGACCACAGTAATCCACATGTATTCTATGCCATGACTTGGATGATACTGGCCACGGAGTCCAGTTCGAAGGCTGTCTGTGAGTTTTGTGCACATAATCAGCACAGGATTTAGCAACACGATTCAGATCATGATTCAATCCAGGCCACCAGCATGTGAGACGAGCACGAGATTTCATCTTTTCAATGCCCAGATGACCGGAATGTAAGTCATTGAGAGCAGCAGTACGTAATGTCGAAGTTACGATAATGCGGTCGTTGTAGCACAAGATACCATCACACGTCACAGAAATTTCCTCACGAGGTTTATAGAATTCCGGAAATCGACGCTCGATATCACCTCACCAACCTCGACGGACACAGTAACTGATAGCGTGGTAATATTTCCTGGTCTAGGGAACTAGATCAGATCGGCTTACCGCGAGCGGTTGAGTTAGTAGACCATCACTCGTAGAAGCCTCCTCTGCAACGGCAAAGCGTGATAGATAGTCTGCATGTGGAATGGACTGCGCACTGCAATGATGGATGTCGTAAGAATAGGCGATAAACGCATACTCCATCGTTGTACCATGGCTGCAGATGACTTAGCCAGGGAACGTTGAGGGTTGTAAATGAACTGCAGGGCTTCATGATCACTCACAATAGTGAAAGGAGTACCATAAAGATACTTGTGCATACGCGTGACAACCCAATAGACAGTTAGAGCTTCTCCTTGAGTTTGGGAATGCCCACGTTTGGCAGCCGTGAGTCTGCGTGAGATGCACAGCACCGGATGACCATTCTGCTCCAACACAGCTCCAATTCCAACGGGCAATGCGTCCGTGATGACGGTAGAATGTAATTGTGGGGAGAAAGGACGTGAAACAGTACTGGTATATAAAAAGGAAAGTAAATTCCTCATGTACCGAAGTTCATCAAAATGTTTGCTGTAACTGTAAATCAAACAATGGAGCAGCTTGGGCTGAAAAGTTAGGGATAAACTTGGAATAGCATTGTAAAGAACCAATTAAAGAATGAAGTTCGTGGAAGGAATTGGGAGATGGAGCATTAGTCAACGAAGAAAATCTATTAGGGTCAGGACGAAATCCAGATTCATCAACCAAATAACCTAAACAAGAAAGTTTAGTCGTGGCAAAGGTACATTTATCAGGGTTAATAGAAACATTATGAGAACGGAATCTCTCAAGCAAAGCACTCAAACGTTCGTCATGTAAGTGTCTGCTAGACGTATGAACAATAATATCGTCCTGATAGGCCCGTACACCTTGTAAGCCAGAAATGATGGAATTATTGGTAGTTTGAAAAATAGCAGGGGAAACAATGAGTCCAAACGGTAGAAAGTTGTAGCGAAAGAAACCAAAAGGTGTGTTAATAGTCACGAGTTCACCGGACTTTTCATTAAGAGGAATTTGAAGAAATGCATCTTTCAAGTCTAGACCAGAAAAAAATTTGGATCCATGAAGTTGGTACGGAATGTCTCCTGGTTCGACGGTGGCACAACTAGACTGTTTCAGGTGTCTGTTCACAGAAACTCGTTAATCCCCACATATCCTAGGAGTCTTCCCGTCACGTTTTAGTGGAGTAACAATTGGCGTGGCCCAAGCCAGAGAATTTAAGGGTGTCAGAACTCCATTGCTTACCATTTCATCTAACGCCTTTTTTACGGGCTCACGAAGTCCAAGTGGGATAATCCGACGTTTCATAAACACCGGAGAACCGGTCACTTCGAGACTCACAGGAGTCATTTTGATACCACTCTTTGCCTTGGAACATTCAAGTATTAAGTGACGAAGGCGTGATTGATGGGAGTCAGACATTAATGAAAATGACAGATGCATACGAGTCATACAATTCAAACCAATTATCGAAATGTCGGAATTAATAACCAAAAACGGGCAGTGAAATGTTTGTGATTTATCGTCTTTAAGAAGCAATTTGCATGATCCTCATTCCCTCAACTGAAATGTCTGTTGGGTAAAGTGCAACTGGGGGGTTTAACTGACGAAATACCTTGTTGGAAATGAAAGAATCAACACTGCTGGTGTCCATAATGAATGTATGGCGAATGGAGTCATTAATGATGAAGTCGCGAGTAATATGGCGAGAGGGACGTGAACTGGTGCTGGCTCGAGTTAAGGACTGTAAATTATACAATAAATCTTCAGAGGAATGGAGAGTCTTACGTTTGATAAGATACGACTTCGCGCTGTTACAGACAGATTGGATGTGGCCAAGCTTACCGCAATTGTCACACGGCATTTCGAAATCTACAGGATAGCCGCGAATGTCTTTGACCACAGGAATTGCACTATTTCCACCTTTGAATCCATTGGTCATTGCGGGCCGGAGAACCGATGCTGCTTGGTGTTTTCGAGCCCTTTTTCGAAAAACCGCTTTTGTCTGGATGGTGGCTGTTTGGAATCGCTGACATTGAACGACAAGCTGGATTCATCATAAATAATGGCACGGACGTCTTGGTACTGTTTACAGACTGCCGTAGCCAACTGAAATGTGCAATCGTGCATGAGCAAGAGCTTTTGCTGTAATTCCGGGTAATTAATACCGGCAGTTAATCGACCACGTAACTGGGTTTGCAATTGATCTTGAAAGTTGCAACGAGATGCTTGAGTCTGAAGTTGAAGAATAAAGTCACGTACAGGTTGGCTTCCACCGCATGTGAGTGAATGAAATTTGGCTCGTTCAGCATCTTCGAAATTAGCCGGCTGTAGATGCTTCAGCAGCAATTTTTTAAGTGATTCAAATGATAGCGATATAGGACAGTCTGAAAATGCCAAATTCTTCAACAATGAGTATGCATCCTTTCTGATGACCGTTATGAAATGAGCCGTTTTGCGTTCTCCATCGAGTCCTTTTCGCGTAATACAGCAAATCTCGAGCCGTTCAAGATAGTCTTCGACTTCGCGCGCACTGGCATGTATATTCAAATTCTCCAAATCAGGACGCGTGTCTGTATCCACCTGGTAGAGCACGCATTACTTAGCATGGCCCAGCATGGCGTTATGAAAACCGGTCGTGCCTGACAAATCTCTTATGGTACCTAGACGAAGTCACAGATTGGGTGGACGATGGCAAAACAGTAGAAGAATATTTCCGAGATTTCAGTAAGGCGTTCGATTCCGTAAGTCAAAGACTGATTCTACACAGGCTTAGTTTGTCCGGAATCACAGGAACAATATTTAAATGGATGGAAACATTCTTGACCAATAGGACATTCCGGGGTAGGGTAGAAGAACAAACTTCCCAAGTCCTTAACGTCACAAGTGGCATGCCACAAGGGTTGGTGTTAGACCCGCTTCTATTTCTGTTGTTCATAAAATATCTGGCAGAACTTACCAGCTCATCTTGCTTCATCTTCGCTAATGATGCAAAAGTGNNNNGTGGTTGGATCTAGTGGAAGAGCCGACATAGAAGAGGATGTTGCAAAAGTAGTCAAGTGGTACCACACATGGGATCTGCCACCAACTGCCTGTGATGATCCTAGAAGTAGTAGTGGTGAAATTATGCACGGAATTCAGGACACGAATTACGCAATAGGAATCACGGAACACGAATTAGAAATCCGGTGGCACTAGACCGCAATGACTCAAACTCGCAATAACCCGCAGGATCGAGATGCAAGGAAAAAGGCCACATGACAGGCGAATCACCAAGTGGTTTATTGAAGGAAATGAAAGTGAATATATATGTGCACAAAAGAAGATCATTGGTTACATCAGTTTCCACCAAACATCTTGCGTCACATTGCTCTTCTCTGCATTGTATCTGATT